TTGAAAATTTTCAGACTGCGTTTATTGGTAATCCAAAACTTTCTTAAAATGATGCCTTTAGGCCAAATATCCGGCCTCGAAAAATCTTCCTTGTCATCTGGATGGATGCTTATTTTGAAAGAGATATTTTCACCTTTAACTGGTAACGGTTCAACCTTAAAATCCCTAATATTTGGACATTGCTTCTTAACATGTTGTTCAATAAAGGTGGGTGTTATGCCCATTTTTACGCGACCAAGATAAAAATAAGCTTTATGAAAAGAATTAGCAAAATTTTCATATCCTTGGAAATTCGCTTTACCCAAAACAAAGTTTTGGTCATTTCTCCTGGCTTTTCTTCTCTGTACCAGGGTAAATTCTTGGTCATTATCAGCAGAATGTTTGTTTCCAAAGTTTATTTTGTTTTTGTTTACGATCTCTTCTTTTTCTCGATATTTGCTTTGGCCTGAGGTTACATTTTCTTCTTTTTCTAGATGTTCGCTGTGGACCAAGGTCTTCTGGTTTTTTGGCAAGTGGGAATTAGAAGAAGAAGAGCTAGCAACGTTGACTTTCTCTCAATGCATTGAGTTAGTGCTTTCTCTGCTTGGCCCATGGCCTGGAATCTTATATGAATAACCTTGAACATTTCCCCCATCACTTTGACTCCAGTCGGTTAATAAAGAGAGATGACAGCCTATCTCGCTCACGAAGACTTTAACCAATCATTTTATTTTAACACCATCTCTGAATGTCACAAATAAAATAATCAAACGAAGCTTAATTCCGCCATGTCAATTCCGTCAAAAGTAATGACAAGTAGTTGATGATTGATATTTGTATATTTTCGACTTTCGTCCATTTTCGTCTTCCACGTGCTTTGGCTTGTTTACAGTTTTTTATTTTTAATTTAATTATCTTTAACTTTCGTTTGTATTTCAAAAAGAGTGAAAAAACTTCAATATATGACTTGCCTACATGGTTGGCTTTTATATTGTCTAAATATCAATCAGACTGATGTTGAATTACTACTGAGCACGAAAGAATATCCGTTATTACAACATAAGATAAATTTGGATTTACTATTTTTGCTTGGTTTTTTTTTGGACGTTTTATCTGTGGTTCAGAGGAATATCATAATCAGAATCGTTAGAATTACCAATCACTTGTATTTCATATGTACCTATAATATCCGATTTTATTGATTCTTCACAAATAATATTATCATCAATCTCTTCAAGGAATACAATAATATACCAGCAAACGAATGAAAAAGATACCTGACGGAACTGTTTAAAGTAAAGGAAAATAATAATCAACACAATAACGTACCAGAACTAAGAGACCAAATAGAAATCAGTTTTCACGAACTAGAAAGCTTCTAGAAAGACGAGCTTCTAAAATATGGATGAGAAAGTTTAATCCTAGAGATAACAAAACTTATACAAAAACTAATATTGCACTGCAAGATACCAGACGCATGAAGAAACAGCATAATGATACCAATGGTCAAGAAAGGCGATAAAGAAGACCCCAACAATTATAGAGGTATAAATCTACTGAACACCGCAGTTAAGCTTACCGCAAAAGTCCTAACCAACAAAATTAATAAACTAACAACTTTATCAGATGAACAACAAGGAGTCGGATCCGGATGATCCTGCGTAGACGTCGTATTTGTACTAAGACAAATCACAGAAAAGGCCATCATATCTATGTTTTATAGACCTGACAAAGGCTTTCGATCGCATCCAAGTCTTAGACGTCTTACACCTACTGTATAAAAGGAACATACCAATCAATATTGTACAAACCATCGAAAGCATCTACCTCCATAATCGAATACAGGCAAAGATAAATGGAAAACTAACACAGTGTATACCAGTACAAAGCGGAGTCAGACAGGGTGACTCGTTAAGCCCACTTCTCTTTAATATATTAATGGACGAAATAATACAAGCAGTACGTAAAAGTCATGACCACAGAATTGGGAACAAAGAAATCCAAATATTATGTTATGCAGACGACGTCGCATTAATCGCCGAGACAGAAGACGAGCTCTAAAGATTAACACATATCTTCAATACAACAGCGAAGAAATACAATATGATAATATCAGCGGAAAAATACAAATAAATGACATTTAAATACCCACTACGGTGTAAAATCGAAATTGATGGGAAAATAATAAAGCCGGAAGCAAGGGTTAGATATCTGGGAATAGATATAACTAGTTACGGAGATGTTGAAGAAGAAGTACGACAGCAAAGCTTAAAAGCAAGTAAAGCGGCGGGTTCTCTTAATGACACAATCTGGAAGAACAAACACCTAAGACAAGACACAAAAACAAGAGTCTATAAAGCAGGAATTAGACCTATATTAACATACACGGCTGAGACAAGACCTGACACATCTAAAACGAGACGACTGCTAGAGACAACAGAGATGAAAATACTCCGACGAATATCAAGGAGAAGTCAGTTGGATAGAGAGAGAAGCAAAAACATAAGAAGAGCATGCAATATAGAAGACATAAAAGGATAGGTGACAAAACGAAAACAAAAGTGGAACAAACACATCAGTAGAATGGCGGAGGATAGAATAGTACGAATAGCACTAGATAAGTCACCAAATTGACGAAAAAGTATTGGCAGACCAAAAAAAAGATGGTGTGACAATTTAAACAATTTAGGAAGCTAATATTAAAGAAGAAACAGGCTTTAAAGCCTACAAACTAGAAGGAAGAAGAAGAAGATCAATGTCTTCTACACCAGAAACTTTCTAATATAATCTCCGCGGCAAATAAACCACATTAAGTGGCATTTTCACAATCTGAGTCTTCTTCTAACAAAGCTATTAACTCTTTAGTAGTTAGTACCATCTTCATTTCATATTTCGAGAATGTACTGAAATAAACAAATGCACTGCTATATAAACGCATTCATATGATAATAGTTTAGCTTACTTCATTTTAATTTATATGAACTTCATAATATATTTTCATATTTATATAAACAAATAGACACAAGCAAACTTTCAAATTAAGTTAAAAAAAAACAAATATAACGTTTACAGTACACAGCAATTCTATAAATAGAGAATGATGTGTAATGATATGTAATTAAAATTGCAGATTGTTTTTAGTCTAATGAAAAAAAAATTATTTTCCAAAGTTTTCTGTTTTTTGAAGTTCTGTATTAGATACTCTAATAAAAATAAAATTTTATTTTATTTTGTTAGACAACTATAAGATACCTGTTAAAAGGGACATGATAATTTAATAATTAAATTGGTTTTAGATTTAATTTTTACGTAATTACTTATGTGTTTAAATAAATAATTAATTTTTTTTTGATATGCCTCTGCAAAATTGATAATTTCAATACGATGTCGTTGAAAAGTTATCGTTAAGGGCTTCGTTAAGTACGATGTTGCCAAGTAATCACCTTCAATTAAAAATTGTTTTAGAGCTCCCCAGACTCTGAATAATTTAAACAATAGTATGTTTTTAAAAACTTATGATGATGATAGTTTAGTCAAAATACTTTATGATACATATCTTAGTTAATGAATATTTTATTTTAGCATAAATACGTTTATTGACGTTTCAATTTCCAATTCGGAAATCGTTCTCAAAATACAAACAGTAAATTAAACAAATTTTGTTTTTTGTTACATAGTGAAAAAATTCTTCTAATAATTTAATTTTATCTGACTCATTTATATTGACAATTCAGACATACATTATTCATTTTAAAGTAAACGACTTTAAAATGATATTGCCAATATTGTTGAGTTGCGAATAATGAAGTTGAATGAAACATTAAAATTCACTCACAGTTAAACTACAAGAAATAAATATTTTTTCGATTTCCGATGTGGAGATTGAAACGTTAATAAACGTACTTTAACCTTTAATTGTGGCTTATTCCCATTTAAATAGCAACTACTTTAAAATGCCCAAGAAAATATCTTCAGAACAATATAAATATTTTTAAAAATCATATGATACGCTTCAGTACGACCCTATTTGGTTTTCACGTGCAGTTGTTTACGGTTGGTAATATGTAATTTGAATAAACTGTAAGGGATCTTGGAACTAAAAAAGGAGGTCCCTAAAGCTAAAATTATCCTGTCAAGTATATTTTAAATTAAATTTATTCTAGTTTTGTATGGACAAAAAGGCAGTAATAAGGCCTACCTTGATTGTCGACGATGTACCTACATTAAAGTGGAAAATACCCCAACAGTGGCTTAAATCATCTTTCATAACAATACCTAGTTCTTTTTTCTTCTTCTTTTTCTTTTCCTTTTCAACGATGTAAAAACGTGAATTGTAATATATGTTTTTTTTATTAACAGAGAGCGTTTGATAGAACAAAACATGATGAAAATATTAAATTCACTTGGTCTAGACAGCAGAGACCGCCTTATAATAAACAATATCTATTACGAACAAACTTGACCTTAACTGAAGCATCACTGAAGAGACTCGAAACTTTTGAAATGTGGTGCTGTAGACCCATGTTAAGGATTTTCTGGATAGACTAAAGTTATTTCCAATAAAAATGGTAAATTGTATTAAGATACACAAGAAAATAGCTTCATAACAAGACAAAGTTACCAACGAAGAAGTTCTACACAGAAAGGGTAAAGAGCGCGAACTAATCATAACCATAAAACGTCGCCATCTGTAATACCTTGGCCCTGTAATTCGTAATGAACAATGATACGACTTACTTCGGACCATACTTCAAGGTAAGGTGCATGAAGCAAGGGGTCTAGGAAGAAGAATATCCTGGCTTTATATTCTAAGAAAATGGTATAACTTGATCACTACCGGACTTTTTAGGGCAGCAGTCAACAAAGTCAGAATGGCCATGTTAGTGTCCATCATTTGTAACAAACAGGCATCATAAGAAGAATAAACTTTTATACCTTTGCATTCCTGTTCTCGTTCTATCTATAGTTTGTTAATTAATTTTTTCGTAAAATAAAATTTTTATAATTAATTTGTATTTTAGGTTGTTTCCATGAGGATATGAAAATTGTGGAAATACTAGCTGAACATTCATCCCATAAAGAAAAAAATAACAGTCGACAAGCCAAAGAATCAACAGTACTAAATGCAAATATTAAACTTGAGACCGAACAACTTGCTCACGCAGGTGATTCTAGAGAGCAATTGAAAACGCAATCTGAGGAAAAACTATACAAGTGTGAAATTTGTGGCAAACAGTTTAACCACGCAGGTCATTGGAAAAAACATTTGATGACACACAATGGAGAAAAACCTTATAAGTGTGAAATTTGTTTCAAGCAGTTTTCTCGAACTGGTGATCTGAAACAACATATGAGAATACATACTGGAGAAAAACCTTACAAGTGTGAAATTTGTTTCAAGCAATTTCCGCGAACAGATACTTTAAAACAACATATGACAATGCATTCTGGAAATAAACCCAAGTGCGAAATTTGTTTCAAGCAGTTTTCTCAAACAGGTGCTTTGAAAAAACATATGAAATTACACACTAAAAAACCTTATAAGTGTAAAATTTGTTTCAAGTTGTTTTCTCAAACAGGTGCTTTGAAAGCACATATGAGAATACATGCTGGAGAAGAACCTTACGAGTGCGAAATGTGTTTCAAGAAGTTTTCTCACAAAGGCGATTTTAGAAAACATTTGATGACACACTCTGTGGAAAAACCTTACAAGTGTGAAATTTGCTATAAACAGTTTACTGGAGCAAGTAACTTGAAGAAACATTCGATAATACACACTGGTCAAAAACCTTACAAGTGCGAAATTTGTTTTAAGCGGTTTAATCAAACAAGTAATTTAAAAAAACACTTGATGATACACACTGGAGAAAAGCCTTACGAGTGTGAAATTTGTTTCAAGCAGTTTTCTCGAGCAGGTGATTTGAAGCAACATATGAGAATACATACTGGAGAAAAACCTTACAAGTGTGAAATTTGTTTTAAACGGGTTAACCATGCAGGCAGTTTGAAAAAGCATCTAATGATACACACTGCACAAAAACCTACCAATAATTAAAGGTACTACAGTAAAACCTCCGTTAACCGAAATAATTGGGGGGAAGGGCGTTTCGGATAACAAGAATTTCGGTTAAAAATAACATTATTTTTTTAAACATTTTTAACATTTAGTATTCTTGGTTAAAATATTGGTATTAAAAAATACTATGCAGTGATTTCGTAATATTTTTTAATACGTAAATACAGAATAAAGTATTAAAATTAAGGAAAATGAACAAGTTTAACATGATTTTTTAAAGAAATCTTCTATTTTCTTTTACGTTATCGTTTGACAACGATGTTTTGCGCCTATATATCTGTATCGTTAATTTGAAGAACGTCGTGAGTTTGCCTCATTTCATCGTTCAACGAAACGTAAAGCAATCTGAAAAGGACAAAACTTTATACAATGGCAACAAAAATTAAGAACCTACTTGTGTCCCTAACTAATTAGGCCTACTGTATAAAATTCTTTTCCTTAAGGCATTGAAATCTCATCGGCGGTCTCATGCTACCTGTTGTCTGTTGGGTCGTCATCTTCGTCGTCTGATACGCTCAGGTTGTCTGGATGAAGAACCATATCAATGATGACCTGGTCGATGAATTCACTTTCTGAGTCATCGTCTGCTAACCACTCACGTATCTCTTCTTAACGTAAATTTTTTATTAAAGGTTTAATTTCTTCTGTCGTTTCTTTATCAGTTTCTTCTTCAGGATCGTCAATCAAAATCCTATCAAAAAGTTAGTTCCAGCATTTTTCCAAAGTTGAAGATTTGATCTTGGCCCAGAACTCAGCACACCGATAAACAACATGTTTCATTGTTGAACAATTGACGATTTCAGGAACACTTTCGCATTCATTCGTCTCCTGTAATAACAGATGTCTTAAGAATGCTCCTCTATAATGTCTCTCGAATGTCTCTATTACTCCCTGGTCTAATAGCTGAATTAAGCTCGTGACATTCGGTGGCAAAATCTGACAATTATCACTATTGCATAGATTTTGAGGGTGGTTGGCGCATTGTCAACAAGCAACAATGCTTTGATGGGAAGGTTTTTTTATTTTAAAAAGGATTTTATACTTGGGACGAATTCATTTTCGAACCATTCTGAACAGTGGTCGACATCCATGAGCATTTTTGGCTTCTATAAAAAACTGGAAGTGCTTTTTCTCAAATATCTTTTAGAGCTCTTGGTTGTTTTGATTTCCCAAAACACATAGTCATCAATCGGTAAGTGAAATTAATGGAATTGTTTACATTTTGCGATAAAATATTACTTTTTATTGACGAAATTATTTAAACTGTCAGCCGTTTCGGTTAAACGAAGTTTCGGTTAAAGGAGGTTTTACTGTATAAAAATAAATACATTTAATGAAATACTCTATAGGATAATAATCCACTATAGGCCAGCGTGATATTTATAGATAGATTATTTTTGAACCCTTAAAAGTTGTTTAAAGTTAAAAAAAAATGTCTAAGCTGTAGTAAACTGAATAATAATTTGGGTTGTATTATGTTTCCAATATCCTTTCAATAAAAAAATTATAAACATGGGACAAATTTACTGACTTCGTTTAGATCACTTTAATAATAAAAGTTTCTTACCGGCCTTTTTATAATTTACTGGATTATTCTTATATCTACTGGACATCAAAATTGTTGATTCGTCATTATACATTTTATTTTACTAATCTATAAAAACTAGACTAAAACTTACGTTATCAAAATTTGCAGCATGGTAGAATTCAGTGGAATGTGAATCTGTGCACAAGTCGTTTTAATTTTTAAAATTTTACATTTTCTAATTGCGATTTGCATCAAAAGTTTTATAGTTTATCATATTTAGGAGAAATTGTTTCGCAGTGACTAATGTTTTAACGAATATTTGGATAATAAATGTAAAAATAAAGTAAATGAAATTATTGTAAAAAAATATGGACCTAACTGATTGAAGCAATTAATACGTGGAAATTATATTCTGCATATATACAAATTTTAGGATTTTTGTGGAAGTAGCGGACACTGTTATAATTTTGACTTTTATGCTGGTAAAACAATTATTGCGAATATTTGACTTTAGATTTGAAAAGCAGTACTTGATATATTAGATTGTATTTCTGAACCTGCAAGCCACTGGATATTTTTTTAATAGTTTATTTACCAGCAATAATTTATTATTTCATTTACACACACACATTATCTGAATATCTAGCAACAGGAACCTTGCAGGAAAATAAATTGGCGAAGTGTCCTATAAAAGATACAAAAGTCTTGGTAAAGAAGCTAGAGGATCATATGATTTTGGATTTGATGTAAATGAAGAAATATTTTTTGTAAAATTGAACGATAATAAGTGTGTTTCTATAGCATCTAATTTTAATAATACGGAATCTCTCTGACAAACTAGTAGATGGAATGACAAGCCCAAGGGAAAACGTTTATTTCTTAACATCAAGTATATATTGCATTCATAGTAGGCATAGATCAATACGACTAGTTGTACTTGCAATCTTCTTTAAGTGTTTAATCTTCTTTAAGGCTTTGAAGGTGAAAATCGATAAATATTTGTACTAGAGGTTTATTGTACTCCACTACTTTCTCTATTAAGGTTTTTATGCTTTGTAGTGTAACGATGTGCATCGCCTCCGTCTCTTCAGATTTCCGTACACAAGTACTCCCACCCAAAGTTCCTCTTGCATCGACGCGCGCTAGAGGAGGTGGAAGGCCTACGACGATATAAAACAGTGTACGCCACAAGAGAGAGTTGAGTACCGTTAGAGTGCTTATCTAGTGAGAACTCCACCGGGCCTCTGGGTATGGACTGGAGTTCCGTCAGAGTATTGATCTCACAATAACTCCACTGGATCTAGAGTATTTTTTCTTGTTTTATGAGAGAGGTGGTCCAAATGTTCGAAACATACCTCGGTCCTAGAAGATGGACAGAATCGCCTTCCAGCCTCGGTTATGCAGAACTCCTCCAGCGTGGCCACGCTGATATCCGAGGCAGCGCGCAAGGGTTGTTCGAATACCATCGCCGTCAATGCCAGAGACCTCCCTGCTAAAAAACACCCTCCTTAGAGGTGAATTGCCGGCATAATCGCCCTGATTGGGACGCAACATCGGCCCAACATTCACCCGATCTCTCATTCACGAATTCTATCACTTTCTCACTACGACTGAATTCTTCTCTCCGTCTCCATCTTATCCAATGTTCCTTTCTCTCCAATGTTCTCCTCACATATCTCTGAACTGCTCTCCACCGATCTGATCACCTAAGCATCTTCTCCACCAGTTCCGTGACTGATTGCACCCTACTTCCTATCTCTTTCTTACTACCTACCGCTCCTGCTAGTGTTTTTTTTTTTTCTAAGAAGGTATCCATTGAATTCTGACAGGCAACGGTGGGGGAAATCTTTTTTTGACCTCTACGTTACGGAAGAAGACACCCTGGTATCTTTCGGCCGAGTGGGATACTAAGCCAGAAGACCCCAGGGTAGTGCCGGATTAACCGTGTTCCGACTAAAACCTTAACCTCCGTTTCTCAGAGAGGTGGTCTTGCCACTCAATTAACAACTAAAATAAAAAACTAAAAATTTATATTAGGTTTGTTCGTAGTAGCGATTACAAACGGTTTGTGATTTGAAATACAATGCGCATGTTCAGTTGGTAACTGTTTGGAATTAGTTTGTGATTTTGTGCTCTACGAACACCTAAAATTTGATATTTTGCATTTGTCATTGTCGTTTGTCAAATCTCCTTTTCTTATTTCTTGGAATTCGATCTAATTAGTTTGTTAAATCTTTTCATTCACTTTTTTGCATTTATTGTTTAATATTATTAGTCGTTTATTTGATTTTATTAGTTTGATTAGTTTTCTTAGTATATTTTATTTTTTAAGTTATACCACAGTTATACCTATTTTAATTAAAATTTCTACAACTGAATAACCTTAAGATGGAAGGTAAATGATTTTGTTTTTATTACTATTATCTATACTATATTTATTTAAAATTTTTAGAATCCTTACAAGAGTATTTGGCTTTCCAAAAAGGTGACCAGCCATCGGCCAACGCTGAAACAAGTTTTGTGTGGACGAGAGGAAACACATTGCTTTTAATAGATCTATACAAAAATTATAGAAAAAATGTGGAAACTTTCGCCATAAAGAATTTTAAAAAGTTGTGGAAATTTATATCTTTGGAGTTAAAAATGAATAATGTTAATTGCACCCCAGCAAATTACGAAAACCGTTGGAGGGTTTTAGAAAGAAACTTTAAAAAATATATAGACAACGCCAAAAAAACAGGGAGAGGGAGAAAATATTTTGAATTTGCTGAAGAAATGGGAGAAATACTCGGCACAAAAAAATATTGTACCTGAATGTGTACTTAGCACAAATTCAATTGTACACTTAGAAGACAACATTTCTACACCTCTTTCTGAAAATGTAGCATCAAGTGACCACAACTATGTAATAAGTACACCATCAACATCTCGTGATGTAAGGGTAACACCACAAAAAACTGATGCTACTGCTTTTCAAATATCAGCCAAAAAAAGTTTTTTAAGAACCAGCAAACGAGTAGATGTATTAGACAGACAGAGAGGAGAAAAAAAAGCAATACAATGATTCTAGATTGGCTCTAGAGAAAGAGAAGTTTGAAGCCCACTTAAAATTAGAAAAAGAAAAGTTAGAAGAGAGAAAAGAAAGAAATAAATTATTAAAACAACAACATAAAGAAAATATAGAAGAAAAAATAGAGAGAAATAAATTAATAAAAGAACAAAATGATTTGTTAAAAAAAAACTACAGAGTTATTAGACAAATTTGATTTAATTTGATTTGTTTTTTTTTTCAACATTTATACATTAGCATAACAACTTGAACAAAATTAAATTTGAGTTAACTCTTGTACTCAGCTTACAAACATGTAGGTCACATAATACAATACTGAGTATTGTATTATATGAAGTACATCTTTTTAAGCTGAGTTCAAAGGATAACTCAAATTTGATAATTTTTAAGTTGTGACACTCTTAATATTGTAGTATTGTTTTGAATTTTTTAAGATTTTGTAAAGTTAAAATAAATCCTTATTATGTGAATAACTGTTTTAATGGAATAATTAATTTTTTTAAGTACAATCGCTGTGGAACATCGTTTATTGTAATAATGTTTATTATGTCTACCATGTGAATATAAAAAAACTTGATTCTATGTTGACCTAAAAATATGTAACAAAGAACAAGAGTTATTAATTCTTGAAAAAAGGCTGTTGTTTTTCAAGAGACTTAAAGTATAAAAGATTTTACCTAACAATTTAAACAAATAGTGACGTGTTAGGCAACATTTTTTACCCTTTAAGGTCTGTTGAAAGAACAACAGCCTTTTTTAAGAATTAATAATTCTTGTTCTGTTGTTACATATTTTGGGCTTACATAGAATAAAGTATTATTCAGATGGTTTGCAGAATAAATATCACTACATTAAAAATTATTTTAACAAAACTAAACAAGTATTTTCGTAGGATCAAATACCTAATTAATCATTTATCCTAGACAAGAGTTACTATGTAAGTATTAGAATAGAGTTTTGTATTTTGTTGGAGGATTTTTTATTTAGATTTTTGGTGTTACATAAGAAACAATGAAAAGTTAAAAAAGATCTGTATTACAAAAATTAAAACATAACCATATTTATTACAGCTATGAAAATAAAAAAGTAAAAACACACAAAAAGTTGTTTTATAAATTTATTAATTTCTTAGCAACATATTTGCTACTCTATTTCTAAGTGCCATTCCATTTTGGTTGTCCTGTAGATTTTCATCATTTTCTAGTTCATTTTCAATATTGTCAGGTATATTTTCAAAATTGTCAGGTAGTGTGTCTTCTAGAGCTATATTATGAAGAACACAACATGCCCTTATGAAATGTACACAATCAGAAATTTTTCTTAATTTTAAATGGTACAATTGCCTAAATTTTTGTTTTAGTATACCAAAACAATGTTCAATAACGTATCTGTTTTGGGACAATTTAACATTAAAATTATTTTGCATCCTTCCTAAGTTTCCAAAATCTTTATATGGTGTAAGAAGATGGTTTAAGCATGGGTAACCACTGTCTCCTAATAAATAGTATTCACCACAATTTTCTGCTAAACTTTCACTTAAAGGTGATGCTCTGAAGACACGGCTATCATGAACTGACCCAGGGTAACCTATGAATACATCCCTTATTTTTCTTTTGTGATCACACACAACTTGTAGCTAAAAAAAATTTCAAAAGTTGTATACTCTATACATTATGATACAAATAATGGTTATAATTAAAGATAAACAAATCGATACCATAAAGCTCAGATATACTACTTATGTTCATTTTGGGAATTTTGTTGCTACTATACAAAGACTAGACAATAAACGTTGATAAACTTGACTTTTTTAATATATTTAGGATAGTATAATGCATCTAAATTAAAAAGGTACTGTAGTTTGAAAAACTTATCTTCTCAAATGGTGTATGATGG